GCTTGGTTTTGGAGGGAAAAATAGATTGTGGGTATTTCAGAAACTTGGTGGGATGAGGAAAATATTTGGGTTACAGAGATTCCCAGTTATATATTATATTGGAAGGATGGGGGGGGGGGAAGGGTTGGAGGTGGGGTGGCTCTGTATGTCAGAGAGGGTATAAAGTCCAGAAAGATCGAGAGGCTAAGAGAATTGGATTCGCTTCTTGAAGTTCTGTGGGTTGAAATAGGGGGGCCAAAAGGAAACTTAACACTGGGAGTTTGTTATCGCCCACCGGATCAAAAGATAGAGGAGGATTATAAAATGATGAATGAATTAAAGATAGCAGCTAGACAAAAACACTGTGTCGTAATAGGTGATTTTAACTACCCACACATTGATTGGGTCAATATGTGTTCTAGTCGAGAGAAAGAGATTGAGTTTCTAGACACTCTAAATGACTGTGCTATGGAGCAGATGGTCATGGAACCTACCAGGGGAGAGGCGATCCTTGATTTGGTCCTAAGTAACACTCAAGACCTGGTGAGAGATGTAAAAGTGATTGCACCGCTTGGGAACAGTGATCATAATGTTGTTGAGTTCAACATTTGTACAAATAGGGAATTGGCCAAAAAGACTCACACAACCACTTTTAACTTTAAAAGGGGTAATTTTTCTGATATGAGGGGACATGTGGGGAGGAAACTGAAGGGAAAAGTAGAAAGGGTCAAAACCATTGGGGAAGCTTGGAAACTGTTTAAAACTACAATTCTAGAAGCTCAAATAAAATATATTCCGCAGGTTAGGAAAGGCACAAACAGGTATAAGAAAAAGCCTACATGGTTAACAAACAAAGTAATGGAAGCTGTAAAAGGTAAAAAGGATTCCTTTAAGCGGTGGAAAGCTAGTCACAGTGAGGCTGATAAAACAGAACACAGGCTATGGCAAATAAAATGCAAGTCTGTGGTCAGGCATGCAAAAAGGGAATATGAGGAGCATATAGCAAAAAATGTAAAGACCAACAATAAAACTTTCTTCAAATACATTAGAAACAGGAAACCAGCCAGGGAGGCAGTGGGGCCCTTGGATGACCAAGGGGTAAAAGGAGTACTGAAGGATGATAGGGAAATGGCTGAGAAGCTAAATGCATTTTTTGCCTCCGTCTTCACTGTGGAAGATGAGAGGTGCTTGCCCACTCCAGAGCCGCTGAGTTCGGGAGGGGTGTTGAAAGACCTGAGTCAGATTGAGGTGACGAGAGAGGAGGTCCTAAAACTGATAAACAACTTAAAAACTGATAAATCACCAGGCCCAGATGGCATACATCCAAGAGTTCTGAAAGAACTCAATTGTGAACTTGTGGATCTCCTGACAAAAATATGTAATCTCTCCTTAAAATCAGCCTCCATTCCTGAGGACTGGAAGGTAGCTAATGTCACTCCCATCTTTAAAAAGGGTTCCAGAGGAGATCCGGGAAATTACAGGCCTGTCAGTCTGACGTCGATACCGGGTAAATTGGTGGAAACCATTATTAAGGAAAGAATTAGTAGGCACATAGATGAACAAAACCTATTGAGGCAGACTCAACATGGGTTCTGTAAGGGAAGATCTTGTCTCACTAACCTGTTAATGTTCTTTGAGGGGGTGAACAAACATGTGGACAAGGGGGATCCAATAGATATTGTTTACCTTGACTTCCAGAAAGCTTTTGATAAAGTTCCTCATCAAAGGCTCCTAAGCAAGCTCAAAAATCATGGGATAAAAGGACAAGTCCTTTTATGGATCAAAAACTGGCTAATTAATAGAAAACAGAGAGTGAGTATAAATGGGCAGTTCTCCCAGTGGAGGGGTGTAAGCAGTGGGGTACCACAGGGATCAGTACTTGGTCCACTGCTTTTTAACTTGTTCATTAATGATTTGGAGTTGGGAGTAAGCAGTGAAGTGGCTAAATTTGCGGATGATACGAAGTTGTTCAGGGTGGTGAAAACCAGTGAGGATTGTGAGGCACTCCAAAGGGATCTGTCAAAGTTGGGCGAGTGGGCGTCAACATGGCAAATGGGGTTCAATGTGGCCAAGTGCAAGGTGATGCACATTGGAGCCAAAAATCCTAACTATAAATACACGTTGATGGGGTCTGAACTGGCAGAGACAGATCAAGAGAGAGATCTTGGAGTTGTAGTAGATAACTCACTGAAAATGTCGAGACAGTGTGTGACTGCAATAAAGAAGGCCAATGCTATGCTGGGGATTATTAGGAAGGGTATTGTAAACAGATCAGCCAATATCATAATGCCGCTATATAAATCAATGGTGCGACCTCATCTGGAATACTGTGTGCAATTCTGGTCACCACACCTTAAAAAGGATATTATAGCTTTGGAAAAAGTGCAGAAAAGAGCAACTCGAATGATAAAAGGGTTGGAACACTTTCCCTATGAGGAACGGTTAAGGCGCTTAGGGCTCTTTAGCTTGGAGAAACGACGACTGAGGGGTGACATGATTGAGGTTTATAAGATTATGCATGGGAAAGAGCAGGTAGAGAAAGAGGTACTTTTCTCCCTTTCTCACAATACAAGAACCCGTGGGCACTCCATGAAATTGCTGAGCGGTCGGGTTAGAACGGATAAAAGGAAGTACTTCTTCACCCAAAGAGTGATTAACACTTGGAATTCACTGCCACAGGAAGTGGTGGCAGCTACAAGCATGGACGGCTTCAAAAGGGAATTAGATAAGCATATGGAGCAGAGGTCCATCAGTGGCTATTAGCCACAAGGTATAGATAGGGACTCTGGGGCAAGTGATGCTCTGTCATCTTGGTGCTTGGGGGGGGGTCAACAGTGGGAGGGCTTCTAATGTCCTGGCCCCACTGGTGGACCTCCTGATGGCACTGGTATTTCTGGAATGCCCCTATATAAATCAATGGTGCGACCTCATTTGGAATACTGTGTGCAGTTCTGGTCACCACACCTTAAAAAGGATATTATAGCATTGGAAAAAGTGCAGAAAAGGGCAACTCAAATGATAAAAGGGTTGGAACACTTTCCCTATGAGGAAAGGTTAAGGCGCTTAGGGCTCTTTAGCTTGAAGAAACGATGACTGAGGGGTGACATGATTGAGGTTTATAAAATTATGCAAGGGATAGAGCAGGTAGAGGAAGAGGTACTTTTCTCCCTTTCTCACAATACAAGAACTCATGGGCACTCCGTGAAATTGCTGAGCGGTCGTGTTAGAATGGATAAAAGGAAGTACTTCTTCACCCAAAGAGTGATTAACACATGGAATTCACTGCCACAGGAAGTGGTGGCGTCTACAAGCATGGATGGCTTCAAAAGGGAATTAGATAAGCATATGGGGCAGAGGTCCATCAGTGGCTATTAGCCACAAGGTATAGATAGGGACTCTAGGGCAAGTGATGTTCTGTCTTCTTGGTGCTTGGGGGGGAGTCAACAGTGGGAGGGCTTCTAATGTCCTGGTCCCACTGGTGGACCTCCTGATGGCACCTGGTATTTTTGGCCAGTGTGTAATAGTGTTGGACTGGATGGGCCTTTGGCCTGATCCAACATTGGCGTCTCTTATGTTCTTTTGTATGTTCTTATATTCTGATATCACCAGGGTCGAACTGAACAATACTTTCTTTTTGGCAGGGAACCCATATTCAACTTGCCAAAAACATGCTGAATAATTTGGCCATCATTGTCCATTACATCACTGTAGCTGTTGGTATGGGGGCAGGATGGCTCTGTCAGGTTCCTGAAAGTCTTGTCCAAGTACCACTCTCAGATTCTCTAAGTCAGCAACTTTGGTCCTCAAGGGAAAGAACTCATTTCCTCAAAGACAGGAGTTTATGGACTAGGTAGACAGTCATGCATTCTTTACTCTGCGAAATATTCTGGATAGCCATCATACCCTGCTGGAGTTCTACCTCGATGGCTAGTTGTATCTTTAAAGCTTTTTAATTAATTAGCTGGGCTGATCATTACTCCAACTGTGATGTTCTCATTTTAAAATCCTAATTGCAGTAAGGTAAAGGGACTGTAGTGTTCCTGACTTTCTGCAGGGGCTCATCTTCCCTTGATGAACTAAACCTTTGATAGAGTTTAGTAACATCTGGAAAAGTGTCCCCTCCCAATGAAATCTGTTAGTCTCACCCTTCAACATTGGACTGGACTGGAGATAGTTGAACACACTGCTGTTAGGGCACATTCTAGTTTGCTTGTGGAACATATGTATGATTTGGTGCAGAAGTATGGTTTACATGAGGCTGCCTTGTAGCATTAGTCCACCTACTGCCCCCTTCAACCCCAGGATCTCAGAGCAGCATTCATGGTTCTTCCTCCCCCATTTTAGCCTCCACAACAACCCTGTGCAGTGGGTTAGGCTGAGGGAGAATGGCTGGCCCCAGGTTACCCTGGCGATTTGAACGGAGATCTCCAGGGTTCTAGTCAATGCTCTAACTAGCTACCCAGTTTGGATTACTCCGCTCCTCTCTGTCTCCCCCCTCCGCCCGCCACTCTCGTCCGTCTCTGGAGATGCCAAAGGTTCAGTTCCTGGGAACTTAAGCCACGTTTTATGGGCCTCTTCCCCCTTTGGACTCCCAGGTGCTTCTTCTTCAGCATCTGTCTCTTCGCCTTTAGGGAGCTAGGAACCCCCAAAAGGGACCTGGGGACCCCCGGGAAGTTCAACCTCGTGATCCCCCTCCCTCACCCCTTCCCACTTTCTGCCAGCCCTCCCCTTATAAGGGCTGGGAAAGCAAAGAGCGTGAGAGCGGAGCACTGACAGCGGCGGCGAGAGCGACGCCCGCGCGGGGCTCTCCTGGAGGTGGTGCTGAAGGGACAGCTCCGCGGCGGCCTCCCCTCCCCCTCCGGCGCTCCAGCGGGCGCTTGCCCGCGCTCGCCTTGCCCAGCCAGCACAGCTGCCGCGGGGGCCTCAGCAGCAGCCATGAGCCAGGCAACCTCCCCGCCCCCCAGCCCCAGCCCGCGCCGCCCGCTCCTGCCGCCGGGCCCCCTGCCGCCGCGCCCGCGCCTCTCCACGCCCGGCGGGACCATGAAGCGGCAAAACGTGCGGACTTTGGCCCTGATCATCTGCACCTTCACCTACCTGCTGGTGGGCGCCGCCGTCTTCGACGCCCTGGAGTCCGAGGAGGAGACGGCCGAGCGGAAGAAGCTGGAGCAGAAGCAGACCGAGCTGAAGAGCAAGTACAACCTCTCCGAGGATAACTACTACGAACTCGAAGGGGTGGTCCTCCAGCTCAAGCCCCACAAGGCCGGCGTCCAGTGGAAGTTCGCTGGCTCCTTCTACTTCGCCATCACCGTCATCACCACCATAGGTAAGAGAGGGGCCGCCGCGCTGCCTGCGCCCCTCGCCCGCCCCACTCCGGACACGGCGCGCTCCCCTCCTCCTTCCCCGAACGGAGCCGGA